CATTGCAGATGAAACGAAGACGAATTATGCAAGTAGAGCAGACTTCTTTACGGAGACATGGTCCATAAGCAACCCATTCAAGGGTATCAGCACAAACAGCACAGGTATCATCCATTTTTTGATCAGTCGAGTGAGAATTTGATGGAAAATTATGAATACATCAAAACGGTTTTTTTACTGTTTTGATGTTGCTATCAATGACCATGAAAAGGTGAGAGCTTTTCGCCTTGGATGTAGTGTAGCTTTTTTGTGAAGAAAGCAGAGAAAATTAGGCTCCTTTTTTTTGGTGTTCTCAGGAACCAGACAGAAATTGATCGAGACTTGCAAGAGAAACGGACAGACAAGGACAGCAAAGGTGTACGGGTACATTATGTAAGGACGCCAGGTCGTTGATGTGATTACTTGACTCAAGGATTTGGATTTAATAAATTTGATTAATGATGTTTGAGATTCTGAGTTTTGACAAAACATGTTGGAAGATTTACTTGTATGGATATGATGAAGATTGATTACCAAATATGGACGCCCATGTTTTTAAATTTTAGTTGAACAGAAGTCCAGGAGGAGTGTTTCCACCAATTATCTCTCATCCATTGGTTTCATCCACAGCATGTATGGGATTTGCTCTTTGAAAGGTTGAAGCATAGTGATTTTCACATGTAAGTCTCTTTTGGCATTGCAGTAAAATTTTTCTTTTTAAAATTTTTTGAATTTTAATTTTTTTTGTTTATGATTTGTTTTGATATTTTTAAGCAAAAAATGTTATGAAAAATAATTTTTAATACACTCAAACAAACTCAAATCTAATTTAAGATTTTATTTGAATTAAGGTTTGGATTATAAAAATTTTAAGTTATTTATGTTTATAAATCAATTTAAATTTATTATTTTTATCCAAACATAGTTGTTTCAAATTTTTTTAATTTTGACTTGGATCTAACTAAATTTAAATGAATTGACAAAATCATAGCTTAACTTATTATATTATTTGAATTTAAATAAATCAATATAAAAACCAATTCAAATCAAAACCCATCATGAATCCCATCATATTATTCTACCAAACAAAGTTTAAGTATATTCAAACCTCAAAGATTTTCAAGGGCAATGAAAGGAAGAAAGATTTTCAATTAATATATATGCGAATAAATTAAACAATTATTCTTATGTTTATGTACACAATATAATTAATCTTTCATTTATATATATGAAATCTTTATGGCCAAATTAAAGATATATATGGACTAATCTAAGCATACTAATATTCAATGCATCTTTTGTAATGTTTTGAATATAAAGACATTAGAAAATATAATAAAGTTCTTGAAGGTTTAAAAGTTGGAATAAATGAATGAGGGGTATAGTAATAATTGAATAAAGAAATGATAATATAAATAGAAAAAAAAAAGATCTGAATATTTGAGAGAGCAAACCGTGAGAGAGAATGGAGAAATAAAAAGAAGAAGAGAAAAGAGAGAAATTAGAAGGAAAATAAAAGGGAGTTGAAGAAATAAATAATAAATGTAAGATTATGATTAAATGTATATAATATGTTTTCTTTAGCTTTAATTTCAGTTTCGATGAATGTTAGGGCTTTAAAAATTTATGTTTTGGGTTTAATTGATGAATTAAATTGAATGTTATAAGGTTGATTGTTGTGGGTAATGGATTGTTAAGTTGAATTTGAAAGATTATAGATAAAAATGATGATTTTGAGTTATGATTTTATTTGAATGGTGAATTTGTATTAGAAATCACAAAACAACAATAAATAATTTATAAAAATTCTGGATTTACAGTTAAAGATAACTATGATAATGAGTTATGTGTGATGGAAAGTATAAAAACTTGTCTTAATCTTCAAATTAATAACATACTTTTTGAGTACCATAACATAGAATAGAGAGGTTCTGGTTGGTAGGAGACTATTAGGATCCTTCAATGTCTTAAAAAGATTTGGAAACTAGGCAAGGTACCATGTTAGATTCTTACAGCAAATATTCTGTATGGTTAAGCATTGCATGATTTTCATCCTACCTCTACACAAAAAAGACAGCGACAATCTAAATAAAAATAGCATGATATTGTGTTATTACTTTGAAAAAATAAGAATTTACTTCAAAATTATTTTAGCAATAAATTTATTTTTATATTTTTTATGTTCCTCTACTCAACTACATTTCTATTTGTCTTTTTTTTTTAAAAAAAATCAGAACAATAACCAAAAGCAGCTTTATTTTGCCTCCTGATTTGAGCGCTGCAATTCCCATGATACAAGCATCGTTTATCACAAATGGCAAATGCCTCACCTAACTATTTATTTCTTAGTACAATTCAAAGAACTCAACAACTGCTAAAAAGGAAGAGTTATGTTCCAAATCCATCAAACCATGAATCATGTTTCAGAAAAGCCAGTTATGGCTATAAGTAAGCATTTATATTTCAAAACTCGTACTCCCATTTAAGCCTATTTCAACTGTTCCTCCAAAATTACAAAATAAACAATAGAATCATTCATCCATGTAGGGGAACATGGCATGGTTCACATCCAGCTAGAATCCTGAGGCCATTGATCTTTAACTGGAAATGGGATGTGTATTTCATGCGATTTTCTTCTTCTTTTTTTAATCAAGTGTGATTTAATGTGATTAGATAATTAAGATTATATGATTAATTAACACACTGTGGTGTAAGAAGCTTCTCTTTTCTTCCTGATCAAAATCTGTGAGGTGGGGGGAAAGAGAAGAAGAGAGAGAGGGGATGTCTCAAAGATAGAACACAACATTGCAGAAAATATGTAGAACAAGTAGTAACTTAAACATAGATCATCTATTGATAGGACTTATAATATACATAGTACTGGCTAAGGGTTTGAAAGCCAAGTTTTTCATAAATCAACTAGATAATTAATGACAGACCTGAAACATAGACACTAACACAATAAGAGACACAAGCTTCAACGCAAGCACACAAGACCAAGCATAAACAAAGGACAACAAACTGAAATAAGCTTATTGAAACTTCAACGGCTAAAACGAGTCCAGACCCCTAAATCAAAAACCTCAAGCTAGACCGCCACTAGACTAACTAGCTAGAGATCCTGGCTAGTAAGTGCAGCCAAGACTTTTGATTATGGTGGTGAGCCAATGGAACCAGTACCAGGAATCCTGACACAACCAACCCCAGGGTAAGAGCAATACCCTGTTGGCCCAAGTTGAAAGACAGGACCATTAGGACTTGGGATAAAGCCACCACTGGTACCAAAGCCTCCTAGATAGTTCTGAGGATGGTCAACTTTCTCCTTGTCCTTGAGCTTCCTTCCTGCTTCAACATTGGAGGCAAGAACCAGTACGAAAATGGCAAGGATCAGTAGTATTTTTTGAGTTCTCTCCATCTTAGCACTTCTCTCAACAACACCTGGCATTGACACACTCTCTACTTTTCTCACTTGCAGTGTAAGAACCCTAGCCACCCCCCACCCATCTTATAGTACCCGAGGTTTCTAGTTTAAACAAGTGTATAACCAACTCTTTTACAAAGAGCAGTAGACATGGAAAAGAGTTAGATGGGATAGTCACTAATGATGTAGCTAAAAATTTATGTCTTGGGTCCATCACTGTCAAAAAATTTACTCCACAAACCATTCACCAGCTCATATTATGTAAAAATACTTCAATAACCTTTACTTTATCTAAAACTATTGAAGCCTGTTCTCTATTTCTAATTCTCAAGAATTATAGTTCATAATCCTTATATACTAATTAATTACCTGTCTACACTGCTGCTAATGGGAGCTTTCTACTGTAACTCAACGATGCATGCTAAACCTAGTATAAAGTTAATGCATACAGGGGTAGAAGTTAGAACAGCCTACACTTAAGGGCAATGTGGTCCTTCGAGTGTGAGTTCAAATGGAGATTCTTCCATTTCTCAAAGACTGGTGGAGCTGTCCTACAAAGTTGTGAACTGTGCATGTTTTGAGACAGAAGTTAAAGCATTAGTCTGTGTCTTTACGAGGGCCTTACCTAATAAAAACTAAGAAGCAAATGCAAGACATCTGTTTTATATATTAATGTACTTTCCATTTTCATGTCCTACTCCTCAGTCCTCACAGGTTCACGTTTACTACTAATACAATCCTATATAAGGAATACAAGGTGGTGTTTGGATGTGTAATAATAATTGTTTTTTAAAGATTTTTTTAAAATATATTAAAAAAACATTTAAAAAAAAATTATATTCAATATTATACGTAATGGAGGCAGGTAGCTCTGCATGGCCATCACCCACCACCTCAACTTGAAATTTCTTACAAGAACTGCGAAGTTAATGCATTTATTAGGTCGGGCTGGCTCTTTCTTTGTGGAAAGCCGATAGGGAACAAGCTGCACTACATTAAACGCCCTTGCCATGATAATTAGCCAGCTGCCACCCACTTTGAGAGGGAGGGAAAGGAAGAGGAAGTTATTTTGTAGTTGTGACAGGAGAGTCCGAGACCAAACTGGGCGGTAAAAAATGGGGACAAGTGGCAGGGCAATACGTTTTCTGCTCTCTCTCTCTCTCTCTCTCTCTCTCTCTCTGATGGATTGGTACTCCGGATGCTTGAAAATATAATAGTAATTGTAGTTTAAAACATTATTAATTTAGAGATATATTAAAATAATAATTTTTTTATTTTTTTAAAATTATTTTTAATATTATTATATTGAAAATAAAAAAAATTAAAATTTTAAAAAATATAATTTCAACCGCAATTTCAAAGAGCTGGACAGTTTTTTTTGTTTCAACAAGTCCAGCGAGTCAACAAACACAACTACGTTCGACACTCAGGTACCAGTGTCTGTCAGCTAACATATAGCCACTTTCTAGTCTAAAACAAACAGGAAAGGTTATTTATTATTTTAAGCTAGGCCATGATGCAGCATTTTATCAGAGAAGAATTGAGTACAAATTCAATCAACAGAAGATTTCGATAGCATGAAGAAGACATGGACTGGGAATTTCATAGGAAAATAGCAAAGTGATTTGATTGCTCAAACAATAAATTGGTAAGCTGCCAATTTACGGAGTCGAAACCGTGTCATGCATATTTCAAAACAAGGATCCAAGATTGTTTATCATAAGGGGGAATTTGACGCCAAGTATACAACAATTCAATCCAGCTTACGCCTTCTACGCTAAATTATTTTCTCAACACAACTTGCCACAATACATTTTCTTCACTCACATTGACAAAGGAAAAATTGAATTGGTTGACTATGCCGTAGACATGATGCAATCAATGGCTTGCTTGCAGATGCCTGTCATTGTGGCCTCTGGCCCATAAACCTGAAAACAAAAGAAAAAATTGTCACAGCTTAGCTACGAAAAACACAAATATAAAGAAGTTCCAAGATCTGTATCTTCAGGAGTGGAGAAATGGAAACTAAAGAAAACTTTCTAAGAACATAAAAGATCTTTTGATTTATTCAAACCACAGTCATGTTTGTTAAGGTAAAGGACAACTTGAACTTTAAAATTAAAAAACACCAGCAATACTTAAGGCACATGTATTAGATCTGCGCCCTCCTCGTAAACAAGGATTCCATACCTCAAATGCGAAAAAGGTCACAAACTTACAGATCAATATTGAAGACAGGGTTACTTTTCTCCTATTAACAGTATGCATTTCAGCGCTTACAGCTTTATTTAATTTCATAAACCAATGGCCAACAAACTCAATGAGAACTAAAAAGGAAGATTGTCATTTCATACCTCAAGAGGTACTCCCAGTTCCTCTCCTAGAGTGCGCATCTTGGCCAAACCAGTCTGATAGTTTGGACCACCTCTTCGGACATAGATGTGCATTCTTGCAGCCTTTAACTTGGATTCCTATAAGGAGGTGATGAGGAAGAGTTACATGTAGAAAAAGGCAACTTAAACCAGTCACTACTTACAGCAATTGGACTAGATTCAACTAGACTTACCTTCTCTCTCAGTGCTCGTATAATACCATTGAAAGTAGCAGCAACATCAGTGAAGTTAGCGATGCCTCCTCCAATAAGAAGGGCTCTTTTGCGACCATCAGGGTCAGAAGTGGCACACTACAATGATCAAGGAATATTGTTACAGAACATGAGTAACGACATAATTGTGAGAAAGGATGCTGAAAAAGAAAAGGGCTTAAATTTATTGTCTCTTACATCAATGACAACTCTTGCATATTGCAAGACCTCGTCCTCATTTGGAGCTCCACTATACTCTGCATAGTTGCCAAGCTCTGATGCATAACCCAAATCTCCAACCTAGTTAATGGGAAAAAGGAATTAGTCTACCAGTAAAATCAGAAAGTATAGACCTTGCACCAACCAATAAAGGGCAGGTACATTATAGCATATGGATATAAAAGCACCTACAGTATCAGCATATATAACACTGGCACCACCTCCAGCAACCATTGTCCAGATACGTCCCTTTGGGTTCAAAACAGTGAATTTCAAAGATGAACTTGTCTGTAAACACAAGAATATTGTTAATGCATCTGAATTACGGCCAAAAAGATAATGGCAGTTCCATGCATGAAAGTATAGGCAAGTAAAAGTATGTCAAAACATGCATTCATGTAATTACCTTTTCATCCAGAGAATGAATGAAGCTTTCGGTAGAACTCAGAACTCTTCCAAAAGGCAGAGGAAACTCTACATTACCCCATCTGAATGCACCAAAACATATAAGATGAGAGACAAAATATGTTAGTACTATACCTAAACGACAATCTCATGTCAACTGAAGGTTTCCTCAAAAGAGGATATGAATATATACATACTTCTTGAAGTTCTTGAAAGCAGCAGTGTTGTCCAATTCTCCTCTCATATCCAGTGGATATGGTTCCCCATTCACCAGTGTAAATGGATTCATTTCTAGAAAACTGAAGTCCAGATCTATGGAGAACAGGAAAAGCAATCAGAAGTGAATTCATTACTAGCATATATAATATTGGTGTAAGAAATTCGCAAAGAGGTCATATAAAAGGAAATATCAGACCATTCTCAATCCTTTCAAGATTCTCAAGAAAAAATTACTTACTTTCCACTCTATTATTTCATATAACATGAAAATTAAAAAGATTCAAGTACATGTGATTAGAATCTTGTTCACAAGTCAAGTAATTTCCTACGTTAAATGAATGTGCAAGAACATCCTCACCTTGAAATACAGAAAAGACACCGATGATGAAATCACCGATTTTTCCTCGAATCTGAGATAGTATTGAAGTTGTATCAGCAAATTTCAAATATATATTAAGCAATTCAGAATGCAAGTTACCCAAAACTTTCAACTCTGAGATTTTCTCAAAGAGAAACTAGAATCTAGGCACTGAGCATGTCCCATCAATTGATAAACCAAGGAACCACTTTTTACTAAGAATCAGACTTTTAACCTGTTTAATTATTTTGGTCAGTGAAACATGCTAGATTGATCATCACCAGAATTTATTAAATCAACGATAATTAATATAAAGAAACTCACCTCCAAAGGAAGTGTAGCAATCAATGGAGCACATGCTTCCAGTGTCATTGGTTTTTCAGTTGGGAGGAATATGGTTTTAACCTGCAGAAGTCCAAAAACCAAACCATGTCGGTAATTTAAATTCCAACAGCTATGAGATCAAACAGTCATAATATGAGAAGAAATGAAGAGGCACCTATCAAGATGAACAATGTAAACATACCTTATCCCAGTTCTCCTCAATTTCAATACCCCCACATTCTGAGAAGCTAATAGTGCTGCCGAGTCTTTCAGAGACAATTGAGATGTAAAACTCTTGGTCATGTGGAACAAATGGTTCAACAATGAAGGTAGTTATTGGTGCCTTACAGCCACCCATCTCAACCTAAAAAAGCAGATCCAATTTGCACATCAATCTAAAACCTAACCAGACAAACAAAAGAATGAACTTTCACGCAATTCAATCCAAAAATCACCTCAGCACCAAGGCGTGCTTTCACAAATTCAGCAACTTGAGCTAGATCTAAATTCAAAGCTACCAAACCACTCTTCCCACGCTTCCCAAATAGCATGTCAGGCTTCACAACCAATTTTGTAGATGAAAGCCATGGCTCTTTATTTGTTAACTCAGTGAAATCTGTACCTTCTGTCACCTAGACACAACAACAGATTATCTTATTACTTGTAACATCAAATCCAAAATAACGCCACTCCTATTACCAAGCTTGAATTTTTAACAGACCCGGTAAAAAAAAAAAAAAGAGCTGCAATTATAGCCAAAACCCAGCTAGAATTTCATCAAAACCAAGCTAAAGTCACCAACTTTACCAAAATATGATATAGCTAATCACTAGCTCCAAACTTGAACTTTCAAAAAACCCAGTTGCAGATTGAGTGCATATCAGAAACCTAGTTTCAATTTCCACTAAAATTAAGCTAAGGTTGCAAAATTTAATCAGATAAGATCCAATTTCCAATCCAAAGTAATCAAATCTCAACTTAATAAAAGCATAAAATACCAAATGACCACAACAATCATAGGGTCAAATAAAAAAAAAAAGGATCAAATCACACACACATGGGGGGAGATTGAGAGGATGGGGAGATATTAACCTGAGCAGAGCAGATCTGAAGATCAATACCAGAGAGACGTTTCAAGTGCTCTTTCAAAAGTCTCTTAGAATCATACTCTCTTATCTTCTTTCTAGCCATTTCAACAATTCAAATCAAAGATGATCTACAAAACAATGAAACAGTGTACAATTTGCAACTATGTTATTACAACCTCTGCCTTTATATTACCAAAGAAACAGAATTTTGAAAAAATTAATGAAATGAATTGTCTTGTTTTGCTTAAAAGAGAAGATTAGAACTGACCAGACAACAGCAACTCAGCAAGGTTGTGTCTTGTAAGAGAGAGGGGTGGTTTAGCTGGTTAGTTGGTGTCTAATAATGTGGGGCATGGTGGTAGGCGATTTGCACGAGGAGGGGAAGCTAAAATGGTTAGTCAAAGTTGTTGATCAGCTAACAACTCAATCACCATCATCATGTGTTTTTGTGCCCACAGGCACTTGTATTCGTAAATGAGAATATATGGTTGTTGTTTGTTGATTCAAATTGAAAGGAGTGTTTTTTTTTAATGTTTTTTAAATAAAATTGTTAAATTAATTTTTTATTTAGGTTTTTTTTAATACTCTGAATATTTTTTTTAAAAAAAAAATTGTTTCCTGAAGGAGTAATCCTCCTCCTAAATCATAAGAGACAGAAATATTGTCAACTGGACTTTAACTTTGTTTCATGAAGTTATTAGATACAAAATTGCTTAGTCGAGCTTGCATGCCTCCACCAAATTGAATCAAGATTGTTTCGTGATTTGACTCCTAGAAGAAGTCGGAGAATTGTTTTTTATGTGAATGCATTTGTTTGAATATAAATATCCTATTTAAAATTAAAATAAAAATCAATTATTTTCTCATGTATAAAAGTGGATTTGTGCGTGAAATTATTCTTTCAAGTGTCTTGAGTAACTAGATATGAAGGTTTTAAATATTGACTCTCTTGATTTGGTCAAATATTGGCATTAGGTTTTGTTTATTGGAAGATGTGAAATGATGGGTTTATCCGAACGGGATTGGCATAAGAATAGAAGAAACAGAGGAGGTGACCGGGCTCTTTGGGAGTGAATTTTCAACTACATTTGAGTATTTTTTTTTTAAAATGTATTTAATTGAAAAAAATAAATTAATATTTTTTAATGATTTTAATGTATTGATATAAAAAAATAAAAAAAGATAAAAACATATTTCAATTTATTTATAAATAAAAAAACTTTTAAAAAATATCTTGCATCATGATAATTATAATATAAAATACACGCGGAATCAACTGAAAAATCAACAAAGAATTAAGAAATAAGAAAACTAAATACATGGATTAATTTAGCTCATTATAAAATTGTAAGAAATGTTCTAACGTTATTTTACTGGTCAATGTTTGTCGTCGACGGTTACTAGGCTACCACTGATGGATTGCCTTAAATTATTGGTGGCAGCTGAGTCATGAATCAGAGTCCAAGCAAACAGGAACTTGAATATATATATATATATATATAAAAGAAATACTAACAAAGAAGAAGCAATTTGAAGGTGGCAACTGGGCAGTGTGCTTCATCGTCCTCTCCTTCACTCCCCAATTTGCATCATTTCAAGTCCTTTAATCAAAACACCATTCAATTTCTTCTGCATCTTATGCACTTCATGTTTTAACTTGGGTGTATGATGAATCAATTTATAACTTGATTTAATTAAGTTTTAAAAAAAATAAAAGAATTAATCTAGCAAGAGATTATTTCTATCCCTTCAATCCCGTTAAAATTTAAATTAGCTTTTAAAAAATCAAAACTAATATTAATTTAATTGATCCGAATTAATCTAAATAATTCATAATTTAAATCTTTGTTTATATGAGATTTTATTAGAGTTTCATCAAGTTGTATTACTCTAGCCAATTTTAATTATTCTTTTTCTTTTTTAAATTTTCACACAAGCTGAAGGTCGAATGCTCATCAATTGAATCATTAATCATTAAATTTTACTTTCTCAACTCCATATTTTCTTCATATTTAAATTTATTTTAAAATAAAATAATATTATTTTAATTAACCCGAAGTACCTTACGAACAACACATGACTTGAATCTTCTGGGAGCTGGACAGATCTTCATCAAGTTAGATGACTCAAAACCAATTTTAATTTTTTTTTCCCCTTCTTTTGTTTTTGAAATTGTAGCACAAACTTAAGGTCAAATGTTCATCGATTGAGCCCTTGCCCATTAAAGTTTACTCTCTCAGCTCTATATAACAAGTTGGAACATAATTTCAAGAGGCTGAATTGATCACACTCACTGATGCATCTTTATGACTTTACTTTGTTATAAAAATAAATTAGCCTAAACATAACCTCCTCCAAAAATATTTAATAATAAAACTCAATAAGAAATCTCTTCATTTTTAATAACATGATACATCATCATCAATACACCCTATCATAAAGGGAGAAAAAGAATCCATTTTCATCTTTTTTTTTACTTGACAGTATGCCCATATTGGGCAGCAAACCTAACAAGGTCATCAAGCTGCTTTAACTCAAAAAACCCATCTTTGTCAGACTGGGCAAGAACCTTGTCTGCATATTCAGGAAAGAAAAGACCAAGATCATTGAAGGCTTTCTTCAAGTTCTTTTTGCTAAGGACATTTTTATCTTCAAATTCCTTGAAAACCACCCTTAATTGCTCATCACTCAAAAACATCCCCATTTCTTCATCAGATTTATGATCAGGCTGCCAAAATACCAGCCAAGCATAACACACTAGTTCATCCATCTCCTAATCACTAGCAATCAATCCATCTCCATTGGGATCCGAAAACACTGGTGCCCTGTCAGCTCTGACGTCATTCTACTAGCACCCAACTCAGAGAAGGCAGCCTTCTGCTCATTCCAGCCAAGAACATAATTGTCAAGATCCTTGACGTGCCTCGTGAAAATCTCCCTGATTTGCTTTGCTGTTAAGGGCTTGTCCCTTGTTTTTGTTGCAACAACATAGGGTATGACGACACGAAGGATATTGTTAACAAACTTTGCTCTCATTTCACGAAGCTTACAATTTGGTGCAAGATCAATCTCCTTGAGGAAACGGCTCCATACATGATCATGATCAAGGGAGCGTTTCCGGTGATTCTTTTTAGGATTCGCGGTGAATACATAAATTTAATGTCCAGATTTTCCTTTTTAAATCCTGTCGGGAAATCAGCACGAAAAGAATAAAATTAAGAACATTTCTAAGCTAAACACAGGCTGTTCTCCAACTCCACGTTTATTTTTTGAGAAGAGACTTGTAAATGTATACTTAAAGCTCGGTTTCCTACCACGGTTCAACCTATTATTTAAATTCATAGTTTACAGGCTAAGTTCAATTCAATCCAGAATTCAAGATAATCTTGGGTCATATCTAGCCTTTAATTCACATCAAAATTTGCAATATCCTTCTCTAAACTGTCGATTTATTTTGATTTTTACCAGATGAATCTATTCAGTACATGGATGGAAAATGTTTATAAATCAAAGATACAAGAGAGTTGACTCTAGGCTCTCGTATCCTGCATGATGTTGTTGGTTCGAAAACTTCATAAACAGGTCTAGTTTCAATCTGTTGCCTCATTGATCAGGGGCGGAGTTAGGAAAAAAAATTAAGAGGAGCTAAATTAAAAAAATTATTTTAAAAAAAATTAAAATTTCAATTATTTTATAAAAGAGAGGCTGAAAAAAATTTCCTTGCACGGCCCCTGCCACCCCCCCTCCCTCCGCCACCGTCATTGATGACTGTATTTTAGCCCTAACTTTGTGTCGTCTTGCTATCGAAAGCGTTTTGCTTGTATGCGATGCTCACTGCTTCATCATGTCTCAAAGTGGTAATTGTATGTTGACGATTTAAGGCTATATTATTATTATTATCAAAATTAATTTTTTTCATTTTTAATTACCCATTATAAATAGGTAAAAAACTTGACAGCATTGCTTTAAAAAACTAGATGTTTTTACTTGGAGAATAAAAAAAGTTCAGTTGGTTGACTAAATGAAATTTGTTGAATAAAAATAATTCTATATGGACCAAAAAATTACTTTACCATAAATTCTTAAATTTAAGTTTAATTTGGTAAAAAATATTTTTTTATAAATGAAAAAACTATTTTACAAAAAATTCAAATCCCAGCCTGAGATTTAGCAAACGGATATAAATTAAACTTAAAACTCATTTTATTTAGGTTATCTCTACTCTAAAAACTTTAGAACCCTACAAGCCCTTTTAACTTTTCACTTTATATATTATAAAAAAAAAATTGTATTCTTTTAATATAGATTTAATATAGGGTAAAGAGTTTTGAATTGCACAAAAAATATTAATTACGTGTTTTTTGAAATTAAATTTTTTATTCATCGACAAATTATAATTTTATTTTAATCATGTTAAAAAAATTTCACTGAAAAAGAATTTTTTAATAAAATTTTAACTTTAAAAGTAAGTAAACTATATTTTTAATTTAGCTTCGAAAATACCAATTAAATGTGAATCAATCTCTAACATTAAGTTCGCGCTAGTTTCTTAAGAAGCGTTGGGCTCGTGTATTATTCAACTAACAACATTTTTTATTTTGTAATATATTGTTTAAATTTATATATAAATGAATGAATTTGACTGTTTATTATATAAAAATGTTTTTTTTTCAAAATAATTTTACATAAATTATTGCATTCATAATTAAACTAACTCATTTAAGCTCTTAACCATATAAAATAATTTTTAACTAGACTTAATGAAAATTATGTACATATGGGTTAAACTAAACCTTTGTACTCCATGGTTTCAAGCTATAATAAAAAATATTCTCGAAGAATTTATTAATTAAATCCGATTGGTTAATCATCGATTCATCTCTAAAGCAGAGGAGCATTGTCATTTAATTTAATTTAATTTATTTGAATTCATGCAAACAGTTTTCCCATTACATTCAGCTTATTCAATCCTTTCCAATTGTTTGACATCACCACTACTTCTAGTAATATGTGAAAATCTCAAGTCTATTCTGCTCAGGAATTTTTTGTCTTCAAATTTCTTGAAAACTAGCTGGCCTTCGTCCTCCACCAGTTAGAGACATTCCCATTTTAATTCATTGGAGGGCTGCCATTACACCAGTCATTTAACTCGATCAAGCTACCAATCCATCTTCTTCACCGGCTTCTGCAAACATCAACCCCCTGTCAGCTCTGATAACAAGCTAGCACCTGTTCGGGGAAGGCATTCTTTATTAACTCGATCAAGCCAAGAGCAGTACCATTGGCATCTCATGAAAGTTGCTGTGGTTAGTTTGTTCTGCAGACAAAGGCTAATAATTCCCTAATCCGTACAGGTTTAGCAGGAACTGGAACAGTTTTATTACAAGGTGGTGTGATATCAAAGATTTCCTTTTTCTTCGACTTTCTTTGTCTCGATGATAAAAAGTACTATTGGATGATCAACTTTCATAAATGGAGGCTAAATCCTTCCATTAATGGCCCCGAGTCCATTTTAACCTTCCCCCCATGCACAAATTGGGAGGCAATTTGTTCTTAATTTAATGATTAGAAGCCTTGCTGGTTCCATTTATGTCTTCCTTGGAACAATGTTATTCTTCGGATGATATCAAATAAATGGCATGGATATGTTTTCTTTGCACAATACCTTAAATTGTTTCCATAGTTTCAATTGTGCTTTGTATGGTCACGTAAAGCTGGGTCAGTCTGGTGAGGACCAAGGCAGGAGGCAGGAGGCTGAAAAATGCCTACAATAAAGCATGGTGGATGAGGATGAGACAAGGGAAAGTGATGATTTGCTATTGATGAAGAGAAAAGTTCTCTGTTATGAGTAGAAAAAATCCAGCAACGAGGCCAGAGGAAGGAGTCCTTGAGTGGGAGGATCATTTGCAACAGTATTTAGAAAATTTTAAAATTTTAAAATTTTTTAATTTTAAATTTTTTTATGTGTTAATATCAAAATATTTTTTTAAAAAAATATTTTTAAATATAAAATATTTTTAAAAATAATCACAATCACACTTATGAGTAAACTAAAAATAATAAATTAAAAAGAGGATTTAATTATATACAACAAAAAAAACCTTAAATGCCGTATCTTAACTCAATTACAACTTGGGTTTTTATGTTATTAGTTTAAATGTTCTGAGTTTTGATTTGTTAAAATTATATTGGATTAAATTGTAATTATCTCTATTAATTATTTTCTAGCAATTATAACTCTTGTTAATTTCTACTAGAAGGTTATAAATAACCAAGATTCAAATAAAATATCACACATATTTCATAAACTTTTATGAATGATGAGCCTGTTACATAATATATTTCTAGATACAAATCTATAATTGTTGCCTTGAAATTAAGAAAAAAAGATAAAATAACATATTTTGAAAGAATAAAAATTAATTTTAAAAATATTTATTTTATATTTTTATTTTCATCTTCATTTCCAAACAAATATTTTTTTTCAATCGAACATAAGATAATGCACCACAATAATAAGGTGTTAGGCAGCCCAGGATTCAAAAAGTGATATATGTAGGTTCAAAAAATAGTTGTCACCGTATCAAATATGTTTGGTAACGTGGCAGTGTGTATTTTAAAATTATATTTTTAACTAAAAATATATTAAAATAATATTTTTTATAATTATTTTTTATTTTTTACATGGATTAAAAAAATATCTAAAAACATAATTTTTTATATATTTTTTTTATATCAATGCAAGGTTAAAGAATTTTCTCTAATTAATTAGCTTGCTTTACTTGATCTAAAGTTTATACAATCTCGAAGTATGCCAACTAATCATACTTAATAGTGTAATTTTAAACAAATTTCTAAAATTACTCGTAACTATATTATTAACTAATGAACTACTAATCACAACCCAGTTAAAATCAATCGCTCAAATTAATTAATCAACCTCTTCCCGCCCCAATTAACACTCACCGACCCGCCCTCCTTCAATTTCCCGCTATTTTTCTTTCCCCAAAACGACACCGTCACTCCCCTCCCTCTAATTCAGCTTTCAAAAACCACACTCCCCAAACTACCCCAATCACCCCCTCCACGTCCACCTTCAGATCAAGGGCACTCAAGTAACTCCAGTTCCCAATGTAAATGGCATAAAATGTAATTATATGAACCCTCAAGCCTTAATAACAAACCCAAAAACCCCCAATATACTTTCCCCTTGAAAGCTCGACGTCTCTATAAAAATTCATACTCTCTTCGCGCTCGCGAAAAATTTCTCAAATTTCTCCATTTCTTCGATCAATTTCTGTAATCTTTTCATCTTCTCTCCTTTTCTCTTCATAATCTCCATTTTAAGCTAATTTTTAGGTTTTCTTCTTGATTTATTTAATAGATTTCTCTGTTATTTAATCTTCACATTTTATGTTTTTGTGTTTCGTTTCAAAATCTAACCCTAATCTCTGTCTCACAGGGTTTTTGTTACATGAATTATAAGCCGAATTGGCCTCGGATTTTTTCTCTTTATTGATTGAAGATTGCTTGGTTCAAGTACTGCTGCGGCGAGGGATTTAACGAATGTGAGTTTTTTTTATTATCTTTTTAGGGTTTGAATTCGATTTTTATTGGATTTGATATGGTTTTGAAGTTGGGGAAGTTGTGGTTTTGGATTTGGATTTTAGTATGTTTGAGTGGAAATGGAAGTGGGTTAGTGTTATTTTGTGGTTATTGTGTGAAAATGGTAGGTGGTGAAGGAATGTAGGGTTTTGAAGAGAATCGAAGTTGAAATCGGGGATTCTTGGATGTGTTGATTGTTGGGTGTTGATTAATGAGGATGAAAAATTGGATTTTTGGCTTGTAATTTAATGGGTTTATATATATATATATATATAAGTTTGTGAAAACCTAATTTGGGATTGGTTTTGTAATCTAATTTAAAGTTGGTTGAATATGTTTGTGCTTGATGTTTGATTTGTTGCCATTTGTGTTGATCATTTGCTATATTTGGTTGTAGAGTTGTTGCAGTTAAAGATGGCTGATCCGAGGAATGGGGGTGGGCAGCCTTCAAATGCAGCACGAAATGTATATGCTATTGATATGGAGAAGTTTAAAACACGGCTCAAGGCATTTTATTCGAATTGGAATGAGAACAAGGCTGATTTATGGGGGTCTTCTGATGTTGTTGCTATAGCAACACCTCCTCCTTCTGAGGACTTGCGGTATCTGAAATCATCAGCTTTGAATATTTGGTTGCTTGGGTATGAGTTTCCAGAGACTGTAATGGTTTTTATGAAGAAGCAGATTCATTTCTTATGTAGCCAGAAGAAGGCTTCTTTGCTTGAAGTTGTGAAAAAACCTGCTAGGGAAGTTGTGGGTGTTGATGTTGTGATGCATGTGAAGGCGAAGACGGACAATGGGACTGGTTTGATGGAAGCAATATTCCGTGCTATTCGTTCTCAGTCAGGTGCTGATGGACAAGTTGCACCTGTTGTTGGACACATTGTGAGAGAGGCTCCTGAAGGAAGTCTTTTGGAAACCTGGTCTGAGAAATTGAAGGGTGCAGGTTTTGAGCTTGCTGATGTAACTAATGGGTTGTCTGATTTGTTTGCTGTTAAGGATGCTGATGAGCTCATTAATGTGAAGAAGGCTGCTTTTTTGACTTTTAGTGTAATGAACAATGTTGTGGTGCCAAAGCTTGAGAATGTTATTGATGAGGAGAAAAATATCATCCATTCTGCTTTGATGGATGAAGCAGAGAAGGCCATTTTAGACCCCACCAGAGCTAAGGCAAAGTTGAAGGCAGATAATGTTGATATATGCTACCCTCCAATATTTCAGAGTGGAGGAGAGTTTGATCTCAGGCCTAGTGCTGCAAGCAATGATGAGCCCCTGTATTATGATTCTGCCAGTGTAATTATAATTGCGGTGGGATCTCGATACAACAGTTACTGCTCCAATGTTGCCAGGACTTTAATGATAGATGCCACTCCTTTGCAGAGCAAGGCTTATGCTGTTCTTCTCAAGGCACATGAAGCTGCTATCGGAGCATTGAAGCCTGGGAACAAACTCAGTGCTGCTTATCAAGCTGCCCTGTCAGTGGTTGAGAAGGAGGCGCCTGAATTGGTTCCAAATCTGAGCAAATCAGCTGGGACAGGCATGGGTCTTGAGTTTCGTGAGTCGGGACTGAATCTTAATGCCAAGAATGATCGAGTGGTGAAAGCTAAAATGGTTCTCAATGTTTCCCTTGGTTTTCAGAACTTGCAAAATCAGACTGATAATCCCAAGATTCGGAATTTCTCACTGTTGCTTGCAGATACTGTTATTGTCGGTAATCTCATTATCCTCTGCAACTTTTTCTTGATTTTCACCCTTTTGTTTTTCCCAATTACTTAACAATTTCTATGGCAATGAGGAATGCATGTTCTCTCTTTTATTCATTTAAATTTCTTTTTCCTAATTTTATCTTATGAACTATCATATTTACATCAAACAGGAATTATAATTATATAAAAAAGTTTGTTTCATTATTATCCAATGATCTGGACATTGCAGGTGATCAAAATCCAGATGTGGTGACTTCCAAGAGCTCAAAAGCTGTTAAGGATGTGGCTTACTCATTTAATGAAGGTGAGGAAGAAGAACAAAAACCTAAAGCTAGAGCTGAGGTGAATGGTGGGGAAAACTTGATGTCTAAGACAACATTGAGATCAGATAACGGGGAGATCTCAAAGGAGGAGCTTCGGAGGCAGCACCAAGCAGAACTTGCCCGGCAGAAGAATGAAGAAACTGCCAGGCGACTTGCTGGTGGAGGAAGTGCTAATGGAGACAGTCGTGCTGCTTCAAAGACTTCAGCTGATTTGGTGGCATACAAGAATGTCAATGATATTCCTCCTGCTAGAGATCTAATGATTCAGATAGACCAGAAGAATGAGGCTGTGCTTTTGCCTATTTATGGGAATATGGTGCCTTTCCATGTTTCCACAATCAGGACAGTTTCCAGCCAGCAGGATACCAACAGGACCTGTTACATTCGAATCATTTTTAATGTTCCTGGGACAGCTTTTAATCCACATGACTCCAACTCATTGAAGCACCAGGGAGCTATTTATCTGAAGGAGGTTTCTTTTCGCTCAAAGGATCCTAGGCATATAAGTGAAGTGGTACAGCTTATCAAGACACTTAGACGGCATGTTATGGCCAGGGAATCAGAGAGGGCTGAGAGGGCAACCTTGGTTACACAGGAGAAACTACAGCTTGCAGGGAATAGATTCAAGCCAATTAGGTTGACTGACCTTTGGATTCGTCCTGTTTTTGGTGGCCGTGGAAGAAAGTTGCCTGGTTCTCTTGAAGCCCATGTTAATGGGTTCCGATATTCTACTAGCAGAGCTGAGGAGCGTGTGGATATTATGTTTGCAAACATCAAACATGCATTTTTCCAGCCTGCAGAGAAGGAAATGATCACTCTCCTGCACTTCCATCTTCACAACCACATTATGGTGGGAAACAAGAAGACAAAGGATGTGCAGTTTTATGTTGAGGTGATGGATGTGGTCCAGACTTTGGGAGGTGGAAAGAGGTCTGCCTATGACCCAGATGAGATTGAAGAAGAGCAGCGGGAAAGAGAGAGGAAGAATAAGATCAATATGGATTTTCAGAGCTTTGTAAATCGGGTGAATGACCTTTGGGCCCAGCCCCAATTTAGTGGACTTGACCTTGAGTTTGATCAGCCTTTGAGAGAGCTTGGCTTCCATGGAGTGCCCCACAAGGTTACATCTTTCATCGTCCCCACTTCAAGCTGCCTGGTTGAGTTAGTTGAGACTCCTTTCCTTGTAGTCACCCTGAGTGAGATTGAGATTGTCAATTTGGAGAGAGTTGGGCTTGGACAGAAAAACTTTGACATGACCATTGTCTTCAAGGACTTCAAGCGTGATGTCCTCAGGATTGACTCTATTCCATCAACGGCACTTGATGGCATCAAAGAATGGCTTGACACAACAGATATCAAGTATTATGAGAGCAGATTGAATCTGAACTGGCGACAGATACTAAAGACAATCACTGATGACCCACAGAGCTTCATTGATGATGGCGGGTGGGAATTTCTGAATTTGGAAGCTAGCGATTCAGATTCTGACAACTCAGAGGATTCAGACCAGGGTTACATACCATCAGATGCAGAACCTGACTCTGAGACGGAGGAGGAAGACTCTGATAGTGAATCACTTGTGGAGTCTGAGGACGATGAAGAGGATGATTCCGAGGAAGACTCAGAGGAAGAAAAGGGTAAGACATGGGAGGAGCTGGAGAGGGAAGCAAGCAATGCAGACAGGGAAAAGGGTGATGATTCAGACAGTGAGCAGGAGAGGAACAGAAGGAAAGCAAAGGCTTTTGGGAAGTCTCGAGCCCCTCCTAGACCCGCTCCTAGAATGCCCAAGCGCCCCAAGTTCCGATAGGTTTGATTGGAAACATCAACGTTCCTTTTCTTGTTTATGTTTCTAGCAGGAAGCTGCAGCAGCTGCCTTAGAATGCAGGCCTCTAACTTGGGTTAGAACTATTGATAGTGGTAGTTTCTAAGATTTTGTCTTTATTTTAATCATTGCCTTTTGGTCATTAAGTAGGAGTTTTGCTGGGAATGCGACCAATCCCTAACAAACCTTAGCTGTTGCGTCACCACAATTGCGCTGTCATTAAAATCTTTGTTATTATTATCTTCGTCTGTTTTGTCCTTGTGTTCTTGTTCTTGTAATACCATAATGCACGATATGGAAATGCTGTTCAATAAATATTTGTTGATATCCAATCATTATGCCTCATGGAATAGAAACATTTTCCAGTTACAACCCTCACTTCCATCTAGTGTTATTAAATCCGACCTTCAAGCTTGGGCCGAGTTATAAATGAAACTAAGTGGGAGAACTTTATAGCTTTGCTTCCATCAAATTCAGGTTGACTAAGCAAGCTCATTGACTTGACTCCAAATTCAGGTCAGTTTTTAAATCAAATCCAGTGAGAATTAACTTGTGATCTGGATAACATAGTGTTTCAACTCATAACCTGGTTATTCTGTTTAAATTTTGATTTGACTTTTTTTTTTAGAAGCATTATTATTTTTTACAATCTTGAAATGATGTTGCGTTAACTCACTTCACTCATGATTCATGGCGAGAATCTAATTAAGTTGATAACTTTACTTGTATGTACGTGAATACAAGCAATCACCTCTACTTGTTATTGTTAAAGGAGGAATTGCATTATCAATTATGTCTATTCTTACATTTTGGTGCAAGTCATTACTCATTACTAGAGAGAGAGTTTTGAATAATTTTGTAAGCATTCATGGTTTCAGTTTAAGTCCAAGGGATACTTCGAATCTCGACAATAAATGATTGTAATGAATCTTTATATGATTGCACGAGAGATAAAAGACATGTCAAAACTGTTATAGATTGTCTTTATATTCATTTCTGCAACCACACATTTTTATCCTTTATGTAACTGTCACTTGTCACTTCTATTCTTGGAATATTAACGAAATGCAACCTGTTAAATGGTACTCCTGGACAAAGGGATAATGATCACCATTGGCGTAGGAACAAAACAGAGAAATGGAAATGGTTACCCAACAGAAGCCACCACCTTTTCATTTTCTATAGCCAAAATGGTTATTCTTTAAAAATATATAGAAAACCCATGTTGAGATCACATTAAACTTGAGGTTACTGACATCAGAAGCAGGAAGGGCTGCAGTATCAGCAGGATCCTCTTATAACCAAACTATCAACGTGAAGTCATGAGCTAATTGGCTAACTTGACTCGTGGTGCAGGGGCTGCAAGCAGAAAGTGAGACTCAAAATTCCCAACAAGTGGCCATGTATATTGCAATCCTCCACTATTTGTCTAATCTCTGCAGATTACTCACGGATAACAGCTGCACCATTGGAGGATAATCAATTCACAGATTCAGGCAGAGTGTCTTGAGCTAAATACAGCTCTAACAATGCAAGAACCCTTTGTAGACGTATTATTTTGTATGCTTTGGTTCGGAATTTTCAAGTTGAGAAATCCTCGAAATTGAACTTCACTTGGTCTCTTCTGGATTCGGAGCTAAAGGATTCAGTCTCCGTAATTCAGTAGCTGAGGAGCACATCAGTCAAAGGTTGGAGGCACGTTAGCTCCCCTCTGTTTCAAAATTCTCAACTTCTGAGCAGGATGGATAGATGGTAGGCACTCCTACTAGCTGTCCTTAACTAAAATAGTGAATCAGGGTGAAGGACAAAACTGAGAAGAATAGTCTTGGTGGCCTTGGCAGCCGTGCCTTGGGATATAGCATCTATCACTTCTCATTCCAACATTTAAGAACTTGCGTCTTCATATCAAGCATGGAAACTCGAAAGAGAATCTGCTTGTAACCAATGGTCCTTTCAAATGCTGTCAGTCCACTACAATCCTCCACACATAATCCGGTAGTTGTTTAGCTTCAAAAATTTCGCACCATGGATAACCTGACCGATATCCTAGACTTGTGTGGCAGACCTTGGATGGTATCTGGGTTCGAAAGTGTTTGTCAGGAGTCTTCATGTATTCCAACCTTTTTTTGGCAAGGAGTGCCTGGGTTAAGAAGTTATAATTTCCAAAAACCCCAACCATCCCTTTTCTTTGCTGCGTACATCTCATCACAATGGTTTAAACAGCAGAGAGAAAATGTAAGGAATTGATTTGGAAATCATACAATAAAAATTTGACGCAAAAATAATTTAACTATCCAAGCTAAGAGATACAGCGATTCATAATCATGGAAATGGTAAACCATAAAAGAAAGTAACACTTTAATCATCCCATATAAACAATGAGAAAACTGAGGAAAAAAAGCCTTGAACAAATAAAGCCATACCCACCTCCGAAAACATGCACCTTGCTATTTCCTGTTTAGCATAGCGAAAAAGACAATTTCATGGTGGATGATGCATGGATTGAGATATGCAAAAAAAAGACAATTTCATGGTGTAGCTAAATAAGATAAACGAACTACTTTCAAAACAGAAGAAAGCTCCACGCAATGGCAACCAATAACATGCTGATATGAAATTGAGCAGGTTTACACAGAACATGCCTATCACCATCAATTGAATAGCACTCGCCATTTTGGCCATATGTGGTTAATATTCCCTCCATTGACATCAGTGACATTGGAGGAAACCAAAGAGTGGATGTGGAATTTGAAGATCCAAAAACAGTTTTACACATTCTAATTGATGAAATGGAAACGATTCTAGAAGGACATTCAAGTTAAAAACAAAAGGCAGAAAAAAGATACGAAAACATTTCTCTCTGATTTCTAATTCCACTATTTTACAAGTAAACAATTGGTTATGACCCTGAGTTTCAAAACTACTATACAAGTAAAAAGTATAATTTCAACCAATTTGTCCAACGTGCATATAAAATAACACCACCAAAAAGCAAAAAGGAGAAAATTCCAAAACATCTGCTTCCCTGCAAGAGATTATTCTGGCTAGTGCAACTATTATCTGTAGATGCTGCAGGTGCTAGTTTAATAAAGCATAGGGGTATAGACACCTTTGGTCACCTTAGTTTGGGCCTCTTGGGAAGACTGCCACTCACATTTCTTCTATCAGGTGGTCGAGCTAGCGGTCGAGCTGGCGGTCGAGCTGGGGGTCGAGCTTGCGGTCGAGTGGGTGGTCGAGCTGGCTCTCGAGACTTACCAAGTGCCTTGATCTTCCTTCTTTTTCTCTCCTCTTCGCTATCTGAATCATTCCCCTTCTCCCTGTCAGCATAACTAGCTTCTCTCTCCAACTCTTCCCATGTCTTTCCTTCTTCCTCCTCCGAATCTTCCTCAGAGTCCTCTTCCTCATCATCCTCGGACTCCACCAAAGACTCACTGTCATCATCTTCATCATCGGAACCTGAGTCGGATTGCACATCTGAAGGCACATACCCTTGGTCCGAGTCCACTGAGTTTTCAGAATCTGAATCACTAACTTCCATGTTTAAAAATTCCCACCCGCCATCCTCTATGAATTTTTCCGGATCATCAGTGATAGTTTTCAGTATAGGCCGCCAGTTCAGATTTAATCTGCTCTCATAATACTTGAGGTCAGTGGTGTTTAGCCACTCCTTTATGCCATCTAGTGACGTAGAGGGGATAGAGTCTATCCGTAGGACATCCCGTTTGAAGTCCTTGAAGACAACAGTCATATCAAAATTCTTCTGTCCAAGGCCAACTCTCTCCAGGTTAACTATTTCAATCTCACTCAGAGTTATAACCACACAAGGAGTCTCTATCAGCTCAACCAAGCAACTCGATGTTGGAACTATGAACGCTGAAACTTTATGGGGAACCCCATGGAACCCAAGCTCTCTTAAAGGCTGATCAAACTCAAGGTCAAGTGCTTTGAATTGAGGTTGGCCCCATACATCATTCACCCGGTTCACAAAGTTCTGGAAGTCCATGTTAATTTTATTCTTCCGATCTCTCTCACGTTGTTCCTCCTCAATCTCATCAGGGTCATAGGCTGATCTTTTCCCCCCTCCAATTGTCTGGACCACATCAATCACCTCAATATAAAATTGCACATCCTTGGTCTTTTTGTTCCCCACCATTATGTGATTATGCAAATGAAAGTGCACGAGAGTAATCATTTCCTTCTCTGCTGGCTGAAAGAATGCATGCTTGATGTTACCAAACATTACATCAACACGTTCATCAGGCCGTGAAGTTGAATAGCGAAAGCCATTTGCATGGGCTTCCAGTGAGCCAGTCAATTTTCTTCCACGACCACCAAAAGGAGGACGAACCCATAGATCTAACAATTTTATTGGCTTGAATTTGGTAGAAGATAGCTGAAGCTTTTCCTGACTAACTAAGGTCGCCCTCTCAGCTCTCTCAGATTCTCTAGAAGTAACCTGCCGACGTAGGGTTTTAATCTGCTGTACCACTTCACTTATATGTCTAGAGTCCTTTGAACGAAATGAAACCTCCTTCAAATATATAGACCCTTGAAACTTAAGGGAATTTGCATCATGAGGGCTGAAAGGGGTGCCGGGCACATTAAATATTATTCGTATGTAGCAAGTTCGGTTACCATCCTGCTGACTAGACACACTCTTCACAGTGGCGACATGGAAAGGAACCATACTTCCATGAATTGGTAATATTATGGCTTCATTCTTTTGGTCAATCTGAATCATAAACTCCCGAGGAGGGGGCAGATCATTTACATTCTTATACGCAACCAAATCACCAATTGTCTTTGCACCACCTCGATTATCTGTTGCACTTGAACCCCCACCAGCAAGCCTCCTAGCAGTCTCTTCATTCTTCTGGCGGGCAAGTTCTGCCTGGTGCTGCCTTCGTAGCTCCTCCTTTGACATTTCATGGTTGTCTGACCTAAGTGTTGCCTTAGACAAGATAGTCTTACTCCCTCTAAGTTCAGGCTTGACTTTTGGCTGATCTTCTTCCTGATCGTCCTCATTGAATGAATATGCCACATCTTTAACAGCTTTAGTACTCTTTGAAGTCACCACATCTGGAATCTTCTCACCAACAATCACTGTATCTGCCAGCAAGACAGAATACTTCTGGGTCTTTAGGTTTTTGGTCTCTGCCTGCAAGTTCTGAAAGCCAAGAGACACATTGAAAACCATTCCTTGTCTCAGAATTCGATCATTCTTCAAATTAAGACTTAGCCCTGACTCACGAAACTCAAGGCCAATTCCAGTTCCTGCAGTTTTGGTCAAGTTTGCAATTAATTCAGGAGCATCCTTCTCAACCACAGAGAGTGCTGCTTGATACACAGCACTAATCTTGTTCCCAGACTTCAATTCACTGATTGCCGCTTCATGGGCCTTAAGGAGGACCTCATATGCCTTGCTCTGCAACGGATTGGCATCAATCAGAAAAGTTCTTGCAATGTTTGAGCAGTAGCTGTTGTATCTAGAACCAATTGCACATATGATCACACTAGTAGAGTCATAGTAGAGGTTCTCATCGTTGCTTGCAGCACTCGGTTTCAGATCAAACTCTCCTCCACTCTGAAAAACTGGAGGATAGCAAATATCGACATTCTCTGCCTTCAGCTTTACCTTAATTCTTGCCGGTTCCAATATTGCCTTCTCTGTGTCACCCATCAATGAAGAATGGGAGATCTTCTTCTCCTCATCAATGACTTGTTCAAGCTTTGGCACCACAAACTGTTTCATCACTGAAGAAGTCAAGAAAGCTGCTTTCCTTACATTTGTAAGCTCAATACTGTCTTTGACAGCAAATAAGTCAGAGAACCCATTCGTTACATCACTTAGCTCACAATTAGCATTCTTTAGTTTCTCATCCCATGTTTCCAAAAGCTTCCCTTCAGGACTTTCTCTAGCTATATGTCCAATGACAGGAGTATCATGACCATTGGAGTTTGACTGAGAATGGACTGCACGAAAAATGATATCCATCAAACCACTTCCATCGTCACTTTTGGTCTTCACATGTATCCCAACTTCAACACCCACAGCCTCTTTGGCAGGCTTCTTAACAACCTCAAGCAAAGAAGCCTTTTTCTGGCTACACAAGAAATGGATCTGTTTCTTCAGGAAGACCATAATTGTCTCTGGGAACTCATAACCAACCAACCAAATATTCAATGCTGATGACTTCAGATACCGGAGATCCTCTGAAGCTGGAGGTGTTGCTATGGCAAGAACATCAGAAGCACCCCATAGGTCATTATGGTGTTCCTTCCAATGTGAATATAACAAGTTCAAGCGCTTAGTGAAGTTATCCAAATCTATCGCATATGGACTGACAGCTCCTGAAGGCTTCCCATTAGAGGATTTTGCATTAGCATTCCTGCTTTCAGCCATCGCATGTAGTCCAAATACAGATCTTGATTTGTCAACTGAGCAAGTTGCGCCTAATGATCAGCAAAAACTGTGATAAATAACAAATAACCAATCAGTTCTCTTCCTTCTCTCCATATGGCAAAAGTTTGATCTGGATACGCTTTTATTAACCATGATCAACAATTTTCAAAATCAGAAGACCAGCAAAATATTACGGAGAAACTTGAACAACGACAACTTCCAAAGTTACAAAAATTTAATAACTGTTCTAAATCTCGATGCCCTGAAGTAAAGAGTTATCATATCTTAATTCACAAACTACATTTGATACATCTCCTTTGCACATCTTAGTCTGTTGAATTCGAAAAAGACCTGATTTTGGAATTTAAGTTTATAGTTTAAGCCTATCCATTCCCAGAAAAGGAAAGATCATAAATTCAAATTTTTACAGTCCCCTTTTTACTTCCATTCATTTTGTCAGAATCCAAACACAGAAATGGATTGGAGCTTACAATTCTCTGTCTTCCCTTAGCAGAAGCAAGACATTCCAGCACTCACAAATCAAAAAGAAAAAAATTATCTTTGTTAAAACTTCACATCCTCAAAAATCCATTGATCAAACTAGTAATCAAAGAAGGATCGATCCATTACCTCCTCTATCTGAAAAGTCTCAAATGAACCTCACTTCAGTAACAAGGAACCGTGCATCCAATAAAAAAGCCATCAAATCTCAACTTCTGCAATCAAGAATTCTTGATCATTAGAACCAGCTACACAGACCCACAAAATAAATAAACAAATAAAAAAGGTCAGAATTTGGAGCTAAATCTGGTGCTTGAATTCATTGAATTATGAAAAAACAAAGAAAACCCAGATAGATAAATGATTAAAATTAAAAGATTACAACTTGTAGGTACCTATGGTATGTTTATCTGATGATTCAATGTTGAGGTCCAAGGTGTGAACTTTTTGAAAGAAATGGATGTTGATGATAATGAAACTGACTTTTTATCGACTTTGAATGGATTGCTCCAACATGAAGGATTTGGAGGTATAGAGAGTGTGATTAATGGATGACAGTTACAACAAGGAATGATTAAAGATGAACAACAGAGGAGATGAGGAGGAGCTAAAGAAGCCAAAAGGGTCATCATCAATCAGTTTTCTTGTGGAAAATGAATATTTATATGTAAGGTAAAATCTGGTGATTTTTTTGCCTTATTTCATTTTGGTTTTTATTATATGTACAGAACAAAAACAAATTGTCTGATGTATAAAAAAATAAAAGCATATTTAATTAAAAAACCTGAAACAAAATAAAATAAATATGTTTTTAAATAGTTTTTTATATTCTTAAAACAGAAAAAATAAAAAAAAATATCCTCTCTATTTTCAGTTTTTATTTCAGAACAATAAAATCTATCTCCAAATGATTTTAAAACTATAAATAAATATATATATATATATATATATATATATATATATTAAGAAGAATATATAAAAAAAAAAGTTTTAAAATTATTTTGAGATTTTATATATATTTTAAAAATACATGTATAAAAAAAAATTTTAAATTATTTGGAGATTTTATATATATTTTAAAAATATAAGTATAAAAAAAAAGTTTTAAAATCATTTGGAGATAGATTTTCGTTGATGATACGGTGCAGTGTATTTTAACTTACTGATGTTTTTATAATTTTTTTTTTATTTTTAGCACTAATAAAACAGAATAATAATAAAAAAAATTAGTTCAATATTTTTCAATTAAACAAAAAGTTCGAAACACCACTGAGAATTAATCTTCTAAATTAAATTCAATTAATAAGGTGGTTTAAGTTTCAATCTCACATTCATCTTCAAAAAAGATGAAAATCTGGCATGTTAGACGGATGATAGGAAGGTTTACTCTAAATCCATTCAACGTTTTTACTCAGCAATTTTGGTTATACGGGTCTAAACTCGTTATGGATGAACAGTTTGCATTCAATTCCCAGGAACTATGTTCGAGAGCAAACCACAACAAACAATGAGGAGATCTACGACAGACGAGTGAACCACGTGAACTGCCAGGACGAATTCAGGAACACTAAATCACATTTGATCTTTAGCTGTTTACGAACATTACAATATTCTGTGATACAGGAACGTACACGGGTAATCAGAACACCCATGGAGGCTAGGGCAAACATCAAGTAGCATGTCTCTAAATCTGCGTTTACATAATAGAATAATAGGATACAACAAAGATACATAGAGAACCAAACATCATAGATAAGGTAGAACAATCATAGCTTCCAGTTCGGGACATCATTTAGCTCGGTTTCTAACACAATAAAATCATAAACCGAGAAAGGGGCATTGCTTTCTTGCATGCTCGGGTATCAATTTGACCAGTGTCTCCACTGAAATTCCCTTCAATTCTAGCAGCAGTAGAAACAACAAATGGTAAGCATCATGATTAATGGATAATAAACTGCAGTTCACGAAAACGATTTCCTCTATAATAATTTCATACCATGAGATTTGAAGTTAAATAAAGGTGGGAGGAAACGCCCATTTGGCAGGCGGGTGTTTTGATCACGGAGCTCATCAAAAAAGGGATGTGTCAAGGCATCCAGCTGCAACCAAAGTAAATAGTAGTAAAAAAAAATTAATCAAAGAAAGAATAACAAGCCCAGAGGGCATGATTGCAATAAGCACATAACATGGTCAGTTTCTATAATAAACATTAGGTAAAAGCATCTAAATTGAGTAATTGATTAACATCAAACAGCAACCAACTCCATATTTAAATGACAGTTTAATGCAGCTGTTAGGCCTTCAAAGTCAAATAGCAACAAGTTATTCTTGGGAAAGAAACGACGTTCAAAGAAGGTTATCGTGAACTCACAAAAATTATAGAATCAAAGGAACCATAACCTAGTCCAGAAAAATACTCACAGCAGTGCACCGTAGGTTAGGGGAGTATTGTAGTAATCTAGAAACCAGATCAACTGCTTCAGGAGGCATGCGCTTGTGGAAAATCTGAAAGTGAAACCAAAAGGAGTTAATGGGTGGTAAGAGTCAAGAAAGCAATAGCACAAACCATGAAACATTCATCTAGAATTGCTAATACCTTGTGCCAAGGATGAGCTTTAATCTGGGGGAATTTGTACTCTGTATAATTCGGGTTCATGCATTTAATTTCCTCCCTTGTTGGAGTACCCAAAACCTGGAAAATAATGGCATCTTATTAGTCAAAATAAATCAAGGATAAAGTAAGTCCCAACAGAAACGCACATTTTACCAAAGTGTAGACAAAGCCTTTTAATGAGTAAAAAGCTTAACTTAATAATGCATAGACAGCTATTAAAAGGTTCAGGATACTAAATTTACCTTGATAATCTCCACAAGCTGGTCGACTCCACTCTCACCAGGAAAAAGAGGCTGACATAATCGATACATTTATTAAGCTTGTCATGGAGATCATTTATGTAAAACAAATAAAATACACCTTGTCCACAAAAGCTTCCTACCTGTCCAAGCAATAGCTCAGCAAGGACACAGCCAACAGACCAGATGTCAATAGCTGTCGTGTATTCAGTTGCTCCAAATATAAGTTCAGGTGCTCTGTAATACCTAGAGCAGATATAAGATATATTTGGCTCCCCTTTTACCTGTCAGAAGAAACAGCATCCCACTGAAAATAAAAGCAAACATAAACACCAAAGAGATAAAAAATACCAAGGAGCAAAGCATACCAAGACTTTTGCACTTCCAAAATCACACAATTTAACCTGATGTGTATGAGGATTCACCTGCATCAAGAAAAAAATTGAAGATAACTTTAGAAAAAAATTCTGACATGGAATAAGAGACCTTGTAAACAACACAAAGATTGTGTCCTCCAATAACAAAGGATAACCACTTCATTTGTGCAAATCAAATTACAACCAAATATTTATTTTTTTTTTTTTTTTCAGAGCTTTAAATTTCAGAGTATTTTTTATTTTTTTTTCAGAGCTTTAAATTTCAGAGAAGTGAGACCCTTATGAGAAGACATATTTCTATATTTTTACTACAGTTAAACATATACAGGTATATGCCTAAAAAATGCACACGAACTCTTACCAAAAGGTTTTGAGGTTTAATATCACGATGACACACTCCAATTGCACGGTGGATGTATGACAATGCCCTAAATATCTGCCAAGGATCAACATTTTAATATCTTACCAATGTTCAACAATACCTCCAAGAAGATACTGTTCCATGCATTGACATAAAAACTCTAGCTGCCTTGGGAGAAAGAAATAACAAAGTAATGGATATAAAATGCCCAAAAAAAACAGATAGAAGAAAGAAAATGGATCCACAAGAACAAGGTCATCTAAACTGTAACTTAAGAGAAGACAATTGTAAAACCCAATTCAATTGATCAGCTCCATACCTGATACGTATAAAGTTTGACATATATTAGTGGCATCTTCTGATTCAACTTGCTATAATGTTTAATCACACGATGAACAGTTTCTGGGACATACTCGAGAACCAGATTAAGGTAAAGCTCATCCTTCTCAGTTGTCGAAAAGAAGCAATGCTTTAAAGAGACAACATTCGGATGGTCAAGAAGACGCATGGTTTGCAGCTCACGGTTCTTATACCTCTTATCTTGAAGAACTTTCTTTATAGCAACAGTTTCACCAGTCTCTAAGCATTTTGCCTAAAGCCAAAATTGCAGAAAGGCAAAATGGAAACATGAGCACCTGGTGAGAAAGTCTGCAAAGGAAGTAACATTACACTATTGATGAACATTCAGGAAAACACTAATGTCTAAAACAACATACCTGGAAAACAACCCCAAATGAACCATGTCCAACAACACGCTCAGCCATGTAACTTATAGTCTGCATGGTTTAAATGGAAGAAAAACATATTAACTAAGAATAAAAGAAGCATAATACAACAAAGTGAATGGGACATGCCCTGATAGACAAACCAAATTGCTGTCTTTAATTAGAAATGGAGAAGAATGTCTTAGAAAGGGATCGGTTATGTGGTGAAGTTATGGTAAACTCATGGCACTTCGAGGATAACAGTAAATATCAAAGTATGGAGAAACCATTATGGAATTCTCCTAATCATATCTGTTGAGGCTTCGATAATAAAAAGGTGAATAATGGGAGGAAATGGTGCCAATTGTTTAAATCAGAATACATCCTGAGGACTACCCCTCAAACTGCAAGGGGATTTTGACTTGCTAGAAGATACGAAGAAAAAAGACAACAATTATACCTGCTTTGGCTGGCCATTTCTACCACCAATTGTTGTTACTATAATATGACCTGTCTCTGTACCATTACCATCCACCACTGTTGCCTCCATTTCCTGAAAAGCATACCTGAGTGAGTGACTGCATCCGAAATCCACTAAAAACAACAAAAAGAGGCATAAACCAACGACAAGGAAATATGTGCTGATTGCCATACTTTGTCATCTCTAATTTTCATGTCATTCATTTCCTCTGGTAACTTATCCACACCAGCATTATGGACACTAGCTTCTCTTAATCCCGAAGAAGGTGCCACGCCCACAGAACCCATTTGTTAGACAAGAACAAATTATTCTGTCTTACTCTTGAACTTCAATGCAATTAAACATTACCTGCTGGAACGGAGAAGGTTAAAAATCTCAGCAGACAGATTTAGTTGCATCAAAATACATATGAAATACTTTCATTGATTCTCCACAAGGTGCAGTAACAGAACTAAACCAAAACCCACAAAAGGAAAGCTAGTACTCGAACAAAAACTCGGACTCCAAAGTTTATCCAATTCACAGCTTAAAAATCAATGACCGGTGATTATACATAGCACAACCAACAAATCAAGTCAGGCTCTATAATTAAATTCCTGCACAAAGTTCAAAATCAAAATGCTCAAACACCAACACAATAGAACACAAAGACACAAGAGCTCTGTAAATTCCCACAAAACAGAAGTAAATCAAGTTTTCTGTACAAGTTTATTGCCACAAAGTCAAATACTTTCGCCACAAATCACCACAGATGAATAAATTAAAACATTAAAAAAAAATGACATGCAAAATGGAACCTAAAAAGGGTGTTTCGATCTACATAAGACATAACTAACCAAAAAATTACTAGCTCAAACAAAG